AATGGCTTTTAATATGTCAAGTTCCTTTAAGAACTATCTGTTGGTAGGCCTGGAAATACTCCCCCCCCAATTTTTTTTTTCATTTTGGAGCTGCTGTTTTTGAATTATGAGTGCAATTTAATCTTGCTGGTATAGTGACTATTAAAATATGTATTTTTGTTTTAAAATTATTGTTATTTACTTGGAAGTTTGAAAAGCAAATTGGTTTTCTTACACTTTCTGTTTTATAATATTAATTGAAGTGCCTCTAAAGATTCTATCTCTTCCTCACTTTTTCTCTGTAATTCTCCTTTTCATTAATCTATCTGTCCTACCCTTTTCTGCCATTGGGGCTTTACCTTGGCTGCTCTTTTGACCCCTTATGTTTGCTTATTATATTGTTGTTATGTGCTATCTAGTTGCTTGCAACTCATAGCGACCCTGTTGTACAGGAGCCCTAAATCCTGCTTTATCCTGTGCCAACCTTATTGTCTCTGACACACCTATTCCCATTGCCCCAGTGACTGAATGCATCTCATCGAGGGTTTTCCTCTCCTGCACTGTCCTTCCACCCTCCCAAGCTTGATGTCGCTCTCCATGGACAGATCCCTCCTTGTAACATCCAAAGTATGTCAGATGAAGCTTCAGGATCCTTGCCTCCAAGGAGCAGCCTGGTTTCACCTTCTCTAGGACGAACCTGTTTGTTCTCCTAGCAGTCCACGGTATATTCAACACTCTTCTCCAGCACCACAGCTCAAAGGCATCAGTTCTCTTTCTATCATACCTAGTCCAGCTCTATGACACATAGCAAGCAATTGCAAAGACTATGGCCTGGATCAGGTGCACCTTAGTCTCCAGATTGGCATCGTTGCTCTTCAGTACTCTGGAGAGATCCTTGATTGCCAGCCTTCCCAATCAATTTGTCTTTTGATTTTTGCTGCTGGCACCAAGAATGTTGATTGTGGAGCCAAGCAAACTGAAACTGTTAACAATCTCAATGTCTTCACCATCCATACTGATGCTGCCAATTGGCCCAGTGGTGAGAATCTTTGTTTTCTTGATGTTGAGCTTCAGTCTATATTGATGGTTGCTCAAAGGCCAGCTCTGGAAGACAGAGCAAGACATTATAATGAAATGTGCAAAGAGCTGGAGTCATAAAATCAAAAGGGCTGAACTCACGAGTGGCAATACTTAAAGATGCTTTGGGCAGAATATTAAATGATCCAAGAAGCATTAAAAGAAGATGGAAGTGCAACAATGAATGAATAGAAATCCAAAGTCTCTCAGTTTTCATTGAAATTAATAATAAATTTAAAAAAAAGATAGGAGTATACAGAGTCACTGTATCGGAAGTAATTAGCTGACACAGAAGGATTTCATGAAACAACATATGAGCAAGAGCCTGTGGTGATGAAGGAAGAAGTTCAGTCTGCTCTGAAAGAATTGGCAAAAAACAAGCCTCCAGGAATTGATGGCATACCAATTGACATATTTCAACAAATAGACACTGCCCTGGATGTGCTAAGTTGTGCCAAGAAATCTGGAGGACAACCACCTGACTGACTGGAAGAGATCTGTATTCCGATTTCAAAGAACGATAACCCAACAGTGTGGAAATTAACAGACAATATTAATATCTCATGCAAGCAAGATTCTACTGAAAATTATCCAAAAACAACTGGCTCAACACGTCAGCAGAGAACTGCCAGATGTACAGACTGGGTTTAGAAGAGGCTGTGGTACTAGGGATATAGCTGATGTTAGATGCATCTTGGCTGAAAGAGTACCAGAGGCAGGTCTATGTTTCATTGACTGTGCAAAGGCGTTTGTGTGGATCACAACAAACTCTGGTTGACTCTGAGAAGAAAAGAAGAATTTAGTTATTATAATGAATGGGAAATGTGATATCATTAATAACACAGCTTCAGAGCACAGCTTGTTGAGGCTAGAAACGTGGTAAATGCATTCCATTTGGCAAAAGCTGTAAAGATTATTTTAGGATCTCTGGTGGCCTAAGCAGTAGGGATTTATGCTGCCAATACACGGATGAGTGGATGGTTTGAATCCACCAGCAACTCCTCAGGGCAAAGTAGTGGAGTCTTCTCTTTTGTGATTCAGTCTCTGGAAACCCCCTGGAGTATCAGCTATGAGTCTGTTCAGACCCAATGGCATTGACTTTGAGTCTTGAGTATTGACTGACTTTTTGAGCATTATGTCTCCCTTCCTTGAAGGCTACTGTTAAGAACTACTGTGTGTATCTTTATGCACTGAGAGTAAAATGGTGTGGCTATATATTTAATTTATAATTTGGAGTAAGTAGCTGTGGCCTAGTCTACACATAGTTGCTCTGCTAACCCAAAGGCCATGCTGCTCTGGCAGTTTGAATCCTCACTGGCTCCACAAGAGAAACATGAGCAGTCTCCTCCCAAGTGATTTGCATGCTTGGAAATCTGCTGGACAGTCAGCTTTGACTCCATTCTGACTACTGCAGGGAGTTTTGAGTGATGTTGCAAAACAAGAGTCTTTGTGTGTGTGTTTTAAACCACAAGTCGTTAAAACAAGGAAAAATTTCTCTTAGATACCTCACGTAAAGGTTTTGTTTTTTTCCATAAAGAACTGTTAAAGCTCCAGAAAGTACTCCTTAGGAAGGAACAGATTATTAAAGAGGGGTATCTATCATTTCCCTCCAACAATTTCCACTGAATGGGGTCCGGTTACATGAGTGTTGCCCTTTCTGACTAACAGTCCCTTGAGTATCTGATGATTTACTACTTCTTCCCTACACCCCTCTTGTAATGCTTGAAATTGGGAGCAAGAGGTAGTTTACCTGCTGTAGCTGTTTGTGACTACTGAGAACTTGGCTATTGCTTCAGTATTGATGCAAGTTCTGTCTAGGGATGTCATTAGGGATGCTAATGAAAGCTTTAAACAAAGACACTTTCCAGATGCTGGATTCTACCATCCTGTAAGTGTGTTCTCTAGAGGACCTATTCGTCGTGGTTATGGAAGGTTGTGGTTGGCTCTGCAACAGCCTGCAATAATTGCACCATCTAGATCAAAAGGGCTCAGAACCCCATGACTTAGCCGTGAAAGTAACAGCATTAGTAGATTCTCTACCTTCTTACCAAACTCATCCTTAGAACAGGAACTAGTGAAAATAGCTCGGTGAGTAGATAACTTGGAGAGAAGGGGATGAACAGTATTTTTACACAGAGAGCAGATTTGGTTTGTTGTCGTCTTCCGAGGTATTTCATAAGCATACTGCTATTTTTTTTACAGCAGCAGGTAAAACAATATTGGCATAGCTTATGAAAATAAGGGGGAGGAGGAGGTTGGCAAACCTTTTTTTCTATAAAAAAATTATATCTATGTATCTCAAGTTGAGGAAAGAAACAACTAATGTAATTTTTTTGGTTGTGGGAGCCTCAGGATTTAATATTTGTGGACTGAGAGATATCTTTCTATTGGCTCAGGATTTCTTAGGAAATTGATGTGCGGTTTAGAACTTCTTTGCTTACATTAATTGTATTGAATATTGGCCTAGATGTTGATTTTTGAGTGAATAGTTCTCCTCAACTAGGATGTTGTTCAAACAGCTTTTTTGTGTTTGAATCCTTTAATTCTTTTTTGGGTAAATTTGAAATTGATTTATGTCTAGAAATTGGAGGGTTTATATTTAGACAAGATAAAAGCCCTTTAGATTTTTAATTCTATAGAGTGAACATATTTTTTTAAGGATTACATATGACACGGGGAATAAAACTTAAAAGACTTTATGATACTAATATAACTTAACATATGGTTCTAAAATGTTCTGTATACCTGTTCTGTCACTGAGACATTTGAAAAATTTGAATAAGGCCTGTAGATCAGGTAGTGGTATCAGCTGTGGGTTGCCAAGGTATTTAAGAGTAAGGTATATTGGATCTGCTTAGTTAGAAAACTATTATATATTGCTACATAGAGAGAGAAGATTGGAAGAAGTGGCATCCACTTCTTTTTTTTTTTTTTTTTTGTTGGGAAGAAGGGCTTTATTATAATTTTTATTTTAATCAATGTCTGTAGTCGTTGTATGATTAAATAACATGCCTCCTGAAACCCTATGAACGTTGATAAAATGTTGGTAGTTGTAGAAGGGCTTCAAGCCTTTTGTTAATAGGGTTGCTGTGTGTAATCAACAACAGAAAGAAGATAAAACAAATGTAAAATGTTAACACTTAAAGTCTTGTAAAAGCGGTATATATAAAGAAATTCTTTGTACTATTATGACTTTTAAATAAGAAAAGTTCTGAAATTATGTAAAATACAGTAGAATAATTCTGCATAAATGAATATCATTTAAAGATAGGGTATCTTTCAGTTCAACTGTAAAATTCATTAGATAGAGAATGTCTACATGTGTATATTTCAAATGCGAATCTTAGTGGCAGACCTAACTTTTTAGTTAGTGTTTTTTATTAAATCCTTGAAATTTTCTACCTTTTCCTAAGAGGATTCTTTAGCTTCTTGTGCTTTATTTCCAGTGACTGAACTGTTTTAATGAGATTGTTAATTGAGAATTTAAGAAACAGATGGTCTTTTTAAAGGGACAGCCTCCCTTCTGAAATAATTGAAAAGAAATGATAGTAACCAAATAATTTAAGGGAGAATTTAATTTCCTCTCTGCTCTTGAAGTGGTTAATTGTTACTACACATAATATTCTAAATGGGATTATATAAAGCTTAAAGTGGTTGTGTTAGGGCAATGAGAATTTGAGTATTTTTGTAGTTGATGTTGTCCCGCCTCCAGCAGAGCAGTCTGGTCCATTTTAACAGCACGCCTTCAGAATTGCAGTGCGCTTTATTGCCAGTAGGCCACCAGAGCTCCCTGAGTATCTTTTCACTTTTCTCCCCAAACTTGTATTTTGTTAGGGAGTTGTTGTTTTTTTTTTAAATAAGAAAGTTATTTGTCTACAATCTATGTACCAGTACCTTTAAAACAATCTCTCTTCCTGTTTTGTTTTGTTTTTCCCTTTAGAGTGGAGGCCGTGTCCCACAGACTCTGGCACCATGAACATATTTGATCGAAAGATCAACTTTGATGCTCTCTTAAAATTTTCCCACATGTAAGTATTTTGACCTCAGCCTGGAATTTATGCATATGTGGTTTCTTTTCTTTTTCTTCATTTATTATCTTTTGTTTGTATTAGCTAACAAATTGATTTTGCTAGCCTCCAGAAGAGCTAATATGACACAGGTACTGAGATTCCAAGAGTTGTTGTGTAATCACTGAAAAGTCATGAATATCGAATGTTTAGAATTTTAGTATTTGGCTCTTTAGCATTTAAGATTCTGTTGTTTTTAAAATCCCTTCTGTTTTTACCAATAATCTCACCAAAGTATCTCAGACTCTATAATTTTTACATACTCCTAGGGACTTGGAGGAAAACGAAAAATTATTCTTAGTTTGGAAATGCTACTTGGTCCTGATGACTCTTGTTATTTCCTAGAACCCCCTCAACACAGCAGCACCTGAAGAAGGTCTATGCCAGTTTTGCACTTTGCATGTTTGTGGCGGCTGCAGGGGCCTACGTTCATGTGGTCACTCACTTCATTCAGGTAAGAGTCATTTTGCCTCTGGCTTCAATTAGGGAAGAAACCATCTCAGCAGGGTAGCCCAACCCTGTGCACTTCCTGTAATCTCTACCAGACTTTGGGATCAGAACACAGCCAGCCATTAAGTCAGGCATTTGAAATAAAGCCATTTAAATTTTCTAATAACTGTGCTCCCTTTAGACACTGAAAACAGAATATCTTAACTCTGACACTGAATGGGGTGCTTGCTCTGCAAGACTTAACTTGAGTGGAGGCTTTACATACATATTGGAGTTCTTTTCTTCCATCATCACCAAGCCATTGGTTGTATGGTTAGCTATCAGTTAATACATACTGATATCTTCATGGCAGGGTGAAGACCTTCAACAACTCATTTACCTTTATACACAGAGTTTGAGGTAGACTAGAAAGGATAAAAGGGACAATTTTGAGTGAGAGAGAAATGATCAGAAAGGCTTATTTCTACTTCACCACAGTTTTATTTCAGTTCTGCAGACAGGAATATACTTCGGACACCTGCCACTTTGGTTTACCTCTAGTGTGTGTTTCTTGGGCATGTCTCACACATAGTTGGATGGAATTTGGTTGGATGGAGTGATTTGGTTGCGCTGTACTTGATGGGCTCCCTGAGCCAGAAGAGCCTCCAGCATCATCCATGGCCCTAACCTTGCCCTTAAAGGCTTTTAGTTTCTTTCCTTTGCCCCACCCCTGAGAAAACACTGACTTTTTCACTGCTTCAAGATTAGGAAGTTAAAATTAGTCTTTGAACCCAGAAAAGTGTGCATAATAAAATTGAAACTTACTGACTCTCCCATGACAGGCTGGCCTGCTCTCCGCGCTGGGCTCCCTGGGGTTGATGATTTGGCTGATGACAACACCTCATAGCCATGAAACTGAGCAAAAAAGACTGGGACTTCTTGCTGGTTTTGCTTTTCTTACAGGTATGTTAAATGAGTTGATCTAATTGGGGGAGAGGGGGTGTTAAACTGTATGTTTAGTATCTCTTCTTTAGGCCTAAGGTTTATATTTTATTCCTCTTTAACTCAACTGTCACGCTTGTGTTGTGTACCTATTCCAACAGTATAGTTTCTTCAGAGGATTTCTCTTTGTAACTCTTCCTTGAATTACGCTAGTTATCTTTTCTTACCCTCTGGTTTCCTCTAGTACTGTTCTGTCTGATTTTGTATTTGTGTGTATTTTGTCTTGTGTCTTCTTATTTCACATAGTACTGTTTGCTTCCCCATCTAGAGGATGTCCAGGGACTGTTACTTGTAAAATTAAAAAAAATTAAGCATCATGTGCTTGACTCACTAGGGTTCAAGGGCTCAGGTAGCATAAATTGTTAGCATAACAAGACTGAATTGGGCCTGAGAATTTGACTCACTTAAGGCCAGCATTGGTAGCTGTCACAAGATCATCAGTACTGAGGCTTGCAAATAGTTAATTAAGACCAGCTCCTCTGGATTTATCATGAAAGGAATTTATTTGTCATTTATCAATTTATCATTTTCATTTCATTCATCAGTTTATCATTTCCTGTCAGACAATAAAAATGCAAAGCAACATTTAAGTTAGTACAACATTTATTTTCTGGTGGTTTGAACCTTTAGCAGCTCTTCTGGGGAAAGATAGGCAGTCTTTTTTTTTTTTTAAATTAAATTTTATTTGTTTTAATGAACATTTACAGAGATTTTGGGTTTTCATTCATTCATTGTTGCACTGTTTTCTCCACCCTCATCCCCAGTTTGTTTTTCTTCCCCACCCCCAAAGTCTGTTTTAATTGTCCAATTGCCACAGTGCTTGTCAAAGAGATAGGCAGTCTTGTGATTTGCAGCTTCCTGAAAACCTGCTGGAAGGTCAGTTATGAGTTGATGCAATGAGTTTTAGTTAATGAGTGACAATCTGTAGAGTGTTGAAAGTATAAAAAGCAACTTGAGGTTTAAGATTTTGGGTTCAACTGTGGAAAGCATTGTGGCGCTTTCTCAAAAAGTTGCAAATAAAGATACCATTTGACCCAGCAATTCCACTACTGGGAATATACCCTAAAGA